AATTAAATTACAGTAATTCAGTGCATTCAATGGAATAATGAGGGTTTGATATTGATAGAGCAATATACACACAATTATTGTTACTTTAGCACCAAATATCAATATGTTTTATTACACTGTTGTATATAGGTGCTCCTAAAGGATTGTGCCACATACCTGACTCACCAGAGTCTCTGAAACATGACTCCTCGTGGTGGCACTAATCAAATACACTCACCAGTTCATGTATTAGTTACACCTTGATAGTACTGGGTTGGACAGCTTTCGGTTTCAGAACTGCCTTCATTATTTGTGGCACAGCCTGAACAAGACACAGGAAACATTCCTGTGAGGTTTTGGTCCATAGTGACATGACATCGTCACACAGTTGCTGCAGATTTGTCAGATTCACATACATGATGTGAACCTCCTGTTCCACCACATCCCAGAGATGCTCTGCTGGATTGATATCTGGTGACTGTTGAGGACATTTGAGTACAGCGAACTCACTGCTGTGTTCAAGAAACTGCTCTGAAATGATTTGAGCTTTGTGACATGTTGTTATCCTGCTGGGCATGTGTTAACCATCATGATGAGTACATTGTGGTCATGAAAGGATGAGGGGGGAGGGAGGGAACTCAAAGTGTGCCAAGAAAATATCCCCACACTGTTGCACCACCAGCAGCATGAACTGTTGATACAAGGCAGGATGGATCCATGCTTTCATGTTGTTTATGATGACATTTTTCCAATCTTCTGTTGTTGTATTTTGCTGGGTCTGTGTGAATTATAGCCTCAGTTTCCTGTTCTTAACTCAGAGGAGTGGCACGCGGTGTGGTCTTCTGCTGCTGTAGCCCATCACAGTTTGACGCGCTGTGCATTCAGAGATGCTCTTCTGCATATCTTGTTTGTCACTATTAGTTATTTGAGTTACTATTACCTTCCTATCAGCTCAAAGCAGTCTGGCCTCTCCTCTGATATCTGGTGTTTTTGCCTTGAGAACTGATGCTCACTGGATGTTTGATTTTCTTTCTCAGATTCTCTGTAAGATGTAAGATGTAAGATGTGAGAAAAGATGTGAAAAATCCAAACAGATCGGCAGTTTCTGGCCGTGTGGCCCCAACAGCCATGCCACATTTTAAGTAATTAAATCATCATTTTTCCCCATTCTGATGCTCAGTTTGATCGTCAAATTGGTATGTAGATGTGGTCAACTTGCATCTACATGCCTAAATGAATTGAGTTGCTGCCATGTGATTGGCTGATTAAATATTTGTACTAGCGAGCAGATGAACTGATGTACCTGATGAAATGTAAATGAGTTTTATCTAAACATAAGTCACTTGTGGTGAAGCAGAGACTCAAAGGAGAAAAATAGCAAAGAAAAAACAAAGAAGATCAGAGCTAATTCTTTGAAGTGACACATCATGGATGTAGTTTTATTGTGCTCGTTTCCAGCTCTCTATTTTTGTTATTGGACTCTGTTAATGTAGCTTTGCATGAGCCACAACTCAAAATAACCCTTATTTGTCTCTTACTGGCCCTCTGCCTTGAAACTGCAGTTCTGATTGCCAGATTGTTTCCTGCTAAAACTTTTCTAGTAGTTTGATTTTTTTTTTTTTTTAACTTGCTGGATTAGATGAGAAACACACAAAGTTCCTATCTGGTCATTTTATTAACACCATGATGTTGTTGTGCTAATGTGAGAAGACTGAAACCCTTTGAAGTCACAGTGAGTTTTCTCTCACTTCTTCGCCGAAACAGGAAATGCTTCCTGCTCAAGTCTCAATCTGTCAAGTCATTTTTAGGAGGCCCAAATTGCAGAGGTAAGAGACTGAGACCTTGGAGTTAGACCGAGGCTTACTTTGCTGGCTGTTAATTTAGTTAATTACATATTTCTTTATGAATGTGCACCAGTAAATTGCCTTACTGACTAAAAATACAATAGCATGGGCCTTTGATCAGGCTAAGAATTGTTAAAGGGACACACTTTTGTTTTTATATGTGACATTACGTTTGCTTCAAGGACTGTCTGATTCTTCTTTCAGCACAGCTTCATTCCTGTGCCACGTTTCTAACAGGATGAATGATAAGACCTTACGGAGATACTGTTTTCCACCAGGATGACAGCGATCACACTGAAACACCACCGCTGAACTCTGTCAAATCCAGGATCATAAATGAATCAACCACTTACACTAGAGACTGTCCTTCTATGTTGGCATATACATTGCACGTTCTCCCCTTTAAATCTAAATGAGCTCTGAGAGAAAATCAATAGTCCTCTCTGTTGTGGAACACCTAGGCTTCAGGGAGCATATAATCGCTGCAGACACATCTGGTCAATTTGCAGCACTGCTCTTGAGCTTCTCTTTTTTTTAGAAAGCATGTCCTTGGGACTCTGAGACGACTGCGAGAGACCCTTAATTACAGCTAATCATGCGTCTAATTGGTAAGTCTCATCCTAATGAGTGATCTCTACACTTCCTGTTGTGAATCATATGCCCAACACACACTGCATTGTTTAATTAAACTGACTCTGTTTTCATGGAGATCGACACAAACACTTCGGGGGAACTGCCTGTAGAGCTGGTGTTAGGGATGAAAACAAACCTAAACTGATACAACGTCAGCTCAAATTCTCTTTCAGTCGTTTGCTTGGGGAAGGTCAGACAGATGCAGAAAGCAGTCATGGTGGCTCTGTGACTTGGTTTTGATTTCACGGCTACAGATTCAATTAGACGCTGTGTTTTTACAGACACGCTTGCTCAAAGGTGGCTCCATCTGTCCTTTTTGAGTGTATAGTATGAGCATGCCACATTTATAATCACAGCAAGTGGCTAAGATCAGCAAAGCCTTTTAGCCACAGTCTCTCTGATCCTTTTCAGACTGGCTCCGACGAGTTCAGCTTGTGTGATGTACAAGTTTGGATTCACACAGAAAATTTCTTAATCATACTTTTAGTCATTAAATGATTTGTAAAAGGCAGTTATGATTTCTAATACCATTCTTTTTTGTCCTTCAAATTTTGCTTTTTTCAAAGGATTTCCATTCCATTTGCACAAACCACAGTCCAGCAGACATTTGGCATTCTGTCTTCATTGAGGTCATCTAGAGACATTAACCCCATGCTTCCTGATGTACCTCCTACTTGCTGAATTGGTTTCCTGAGCAGTTCATATGCACCAAATGTTCTTCATATTTAGAGCTGTGCTTTGCATGAGCGTACTGTTGTACTGTTTGGAGAGATTGGCTCTTATCGGGCCATGTTCACAGAGTATGGCAAAGTAATGGAGAAAATATGTGCCACCAAGGCACCCCATTTTTTCAGCGAACATGACAAATCCCATCAAGCACCTCCAACAAACCTTTCATTGGTTCTGCATCTCACAGATGTTCTTCTTCCTGGTCTAAAAACTGAAACCTCCATTCACCACCTGTCCCATATCCGTGTTCTTTGACATGTTTGAAATATTTCCTCTTTGTGGCTCTGCAGTCAAACTTAGCATCCAAGAGAGGCCTCTGAGAATCTATGAGGCATCTGTTTCTTAAACCAGAGATGTGCTTTACGTCTCTTGTTGCTCAGCTGTGCAGGTTGGCAGTTCTGTCAGGGGAGTACTTTACACCACTGGATGCAATCTTGCATCAAATTTTTAGGTTTTTGGCAAAGGCCTACATTTTTTTTTTAGAACTTCCATTTCAAAAAGAAACTGGAATGCCTTGATCCATTCAATAGTACTTTTTTTTTCAAAAATAAGAACTATTTAAAGTTTAAAGTGGCTTCAAACTTTTGAGCAATATTACATGTTATTGGTTCCACGTGGTTCCATAGGGGGCCTCCTCAAGCCCTAAATGGGATTTGAGTGGCCAAACATAACCCTCAGCCTCTATCCAAACTCATCAACCAGCCCAAAACACATTCATACTTCTGTCAGCTTTACTACAGCTGACTGGTGCAATCACAGTATCACAGTGTGATATCTGTGAGCCAGTTCCTCCCATAATATCGTTAGCTTATCAAGCGTACTTAAGCCCCACGTGCTTCACTCATTCACACACAGGAAACATGCATAATTCTGAGCATAATACCCTGAGGTAATAACATCTGATTGGAAAGTCAAGGGAGATAATCAGTTAATCAATACAACCATGAGCCTCTTCCTTCGTTATGGTTACAGAGGCAGATCAGTTACACCAATCACCTGATGTTTATCACAGTGTGGATTGTATTGAGAGCAGTGGAAAATTCTCATTTCTCTCTACTAGCAGAGTTAGCTCAGGTTTTGTGAGCAGTCACTCCAATACCTGAGACGCGCAGTGGGATTTTGGTGTGTGGGGATGAGAGCTGGGGTCTTACATTCCCCATTTTGAAAGTGGAATGTAAAGCAATTAACTGGAAATTCAGTTTCATGAATAGGGACAAATAGAAAATGGGCAAAAAATAAATTTGAAAGATCATATTTGTGTGTTTTGTGTCACAAAAAAACCCAGTTCAGATTTCTAATATGAAATTTGCACCGTGTACTGCGGCATGCACTTAAAGGGAATTTTCCCCGCTGCTTTGTTCTTGTTGTTAAGACTAACAGTGAGAAGGGGCAACCTATATGAACTGGAGCAGCCCTGCAGGATATTTGTAAGCCATCTATAAAGGAAATAGTCGCTGTAAGGTCAATGGGCGCTGATCCTCAAAGCATACAGGAAATGCTGCTGCCGTGGTCCGGTCAAGCAAATGAATAAAACCTGCTGTACATCATTCACAGTCTATGAACTCATCTTCTGCTCCAGTGGCTTCAACCGCACAAATAACTACGCAAACGCGTGTGAATGTCTCACAGAACAACAGTTATTTCATTCGCTCCGCTTGCGGATCATTACTTCATTTGCTGCTTGATCTGTTCCTGGCTTCAGTTAACGCGCTGCGCGCTGCGTGCGTAATTTTGGTACCTGTGCATAACGAAAGTCATCAAAGCAGTAACGAAAGCAGCTCTGATATGGTGCTTTGAAAACTTTTGGAAACTTACCTATCCACGCTGATCACACACAGGGTCATGATGGAGGCAGTGCAGCACATTACATCCATGCCGATGAAGATGTTGCAGAACACTTCCCCAAAAAGCCACTTGCCCCCAGTGAGATCTGTCACGATCACGAACGGCATGACTACTATGGCCACTGACAGGTCAGCCACCGCCAAAGACACCAGCAGATAGTTTGAAGGCTGTCTCAGTTTCTTCACCACGCACACCGCGATCACCACCAGCGTGTTTCCCATCACTGTGACCGCCGTGATGATCGCCAGCATCACCCCGATAACGATCTTCTCCGGGCGAGTGAAATCCAGAAGCTGCTCCCCGCACGACTCGTTCCACATGGCTGTGGGGCTGATGGTGACGAGGAGAAGCTGCAGAGAGCCATTGATAACTTCGGAATTGTCTTCCTTCTTGTTAAAAGTGGGCTCAATCCCCGAAATATTGAACATCACGACAATGTTATCCGGATAGGGGTGCAAGGGTGGCCTCGCCAGAGCACTCCAGTTACGCGCATATTTGGATGTGTGTACCCTGCTGTCGGTTCCTATCCAGCGGTTTTACGTCGAGTGTGTTGCAGCTGCACCACATCGGAGCTGCCAGCAACTCAACAGGGTTCTTAACTGGCTTCTGTTTATCAATGATTCGTCTCAAGAAGTGCTATGCGGACACGTGGTACATTCCTATAGGGAAATATAACTTCTCCAAAATGATCAATCAGGAAGGGAGCAGAAAAAAAGTTGCAGAATCTAAATATAGCTACTCCAGAAATGCCTGCTGCTCAGTGCATCACCTCGACAAATATGGACTTGCCTCTTTGGGGAGTTGCGATGCGCAAACCGCACCTATCAATGTGACGCATGGGCTAGGACGCAGAGACTGCCTAAGAACTTCACGCATATGGACATAAGCCTACAGAAGTGGTTTCGCGGTGGGTTGAGAGAGGGTAGAGCGTGAAAAGCCTTTATTAGTGATGTGCATGTTGGTGCATCTAGCCACAGGGCTCCCCTCAAAAAGACATGATGTACAAATGTTATGAACAGAATATGTTTGAGTTCGTATTTGGAAAACGATGCAACTTTACTTTCTTCTAAACAATATTGCTGTCAGAAAGAGCTGACTTGAAACCCAGCTGCTTATTTTAAAGCTCTTAACGATCCAGTCTTTCATGGAGAAAAAAATCCTGCAGTAAATTTTGCATGACAGGCATCCCCACATGTCTCTTAAATCTGAAAAAGAAACAGGAAATGAACTTAAGGGCATTCTTCCAGTGCTTCCGACATGCAAAAAAACATGTTTTCTAATAGTAGGACACATTAGACACTCAAAATGCAAAACCACTTAACAAAAGGTACATTTTCTCCCAGTGTGCTTTTGTCCTGATGGTTTTCTTGGTCGCCATGGTTCCGAGAAAAGCATAAAGACAAATCAAAAGAGAAAATCCAGCAATGCTGATGACGCTGGGAGACACTGGGGGGATGTGGGAAAGCTTCCCAGGACTTTTGGCCGCTTGCATCACCGTCTGGGCAGCAGGAGCAGCTGTGGTGTGTTTGTCCCCTCTGGCTGTGCAGGGCCTGTGCTGTCATAGTTGTCCCCTCCCCACAACCACTTTCATGCCTAGTGCAGACCACCGCAGCCTTGGCCTTTTACTCACCATTACCTGAGTGACAGGTCAGGAATGATTGTCACACCAGATTATTGCCAGTGACCACTGGCAGTTTCTGCTAGACCTCTTGCTGTCAGGGAAATTTGGCCCATTTGTGCTTAGGACATTAGTGCAGATGTCAGGGTTTCCGCCTTATGCAAGGCATGCTGTCAATGTGTCACTGTTTGTCTGAACCCCTCTCAAGGTCCTGCACTGAGAGGGGTTGTTATTTATTTTTTATTTCTTTTGTCACTTTGTAGTTGCTCAGTTCACTATCCAACAAGAAACATTTACAGCCATTTCCAAATGAGGTTTTGGTCTTTTTTTTAATGTGCATTTTAAATCTAAAATTAAATGTCTAGTTTGTAAAAGACAGTTCTGTTTAACCACAAATTTTTTTATTATGTTTGTCTCCGGTATTTTTGGTTTATTATTATTATTATTATTTATTTCCTGGTTCTTGGTGTTTACAACAAAGTGTTAACCTTCCTTAAATAAGAAGTGATTTATTTTCTTCAATAAAGTATCCATGCATAAGTGCATGGATAAATCTGCATTACTTCCAACAACTGCACGTATATTGAGGTCCAGAGTAAACCTGGTGCAACAGGATACAACATTAAAACAGCTCAAAGTGCAAAAGCAAATGTGTAATTTGCACCAGTTATGGAAGGTGACTTTGAATTGTTGTCTCATCCTGACAACAATCGCCCCGTGGCCTGTTTGCATGTCAGATTACTCTGTCCGATAAACAAACCCCCACGTGAGCTCGTGGGACTTTTGCTGGATCCCTTCTAGCTGTGCTGTAAGAACTTTAATGAAACCAAAACATTAAGAAAGCATGCTCCTTTCACTCCAAAAATCTGGGCGGCCCATCAGGTTTTTACACTTTAACCTGTAATTTCACCGGCTCGCCAGTTATTTTTAAAATCATGCTGTCAAAAGTAACCCGCCGATCTCGTCCAAGCGCACTGCACTTGGCATTCACCTGTGCCTCTGAAATGCACAAGCATAATGCTATCAGCCAGTCAGCTCAACATCTGTTCTTCAGATGTAGATTATGGCTGAAGGCAGACAGGTGGAGATTGTCCCTCTTCATCAGTCAGACATTGTTTATCTTGGTTTTCCTGGCAGCAAATTGAAGATTTGCAACCATGACCTTAATAAATTGAGACAATCGGGCAGAAAGCGGGCAAGAAGCGGGTAATTTCATCACGACAAGAAAATGTAAGTGAGGAGCAGAGCAGGAAAACACATTTGTTTGAGAAATAAGGCCAAAAGAATTACCAACGAACAACAGAGTGTCCTTATTGCTGAGCAGGCCCCACATGTAAGCACCACTACGTTAGATGCATATGAGTTTCGGTGTCATCTCAGTAATACAGCAGCTACGTTCAGTCTACGTTTACATCTGAATAATTGAAACAGCAAAACATAAAAACTGATCAGCACTGCGAGCAGGATTTGAATGGCTAAAAGAACTTCACTAACAGTGTGTGTTGTGATCTGGATCTAATCTAGGTCACTACTAGAAAGCAAGAATAAGCATTTAAGAGCATATTTCAGTCAAAGAAAGAAAAGGGAGTTGCAGCAGCATCCTAAAAAGCCCGTTAAGTAAAATCACTGCTTTGATATGTATTCATCTGAACAAACATCAGTCGGAGATTCTCGGGTTTGTGTTCTGCTCTTCAAACGTGGCCTTTACTCTCAGCTGCTATTAGCAGCTTACTCCGCGAGTCATTTTTAAAAATAACTCAAGGAGAGTTACAAAATAAAGGTTCATGACCTGACATTCATTCTCAGTTGGTGAAAAATTAGAAAAGTTACTCCTCATTCTAGCGCAAATCTGCAGCCAACGCTGTTAAGAGTCGCTGGGAGTTGAATGCTGGCAAATCAGCATGCAACTCTGTGCCAGAATACACCTGGATCCCCTTCTTTTTTGACATGCCAAACCTCATGGACTTAATGGATCCATATTTATTACCTGCTGATCCTTCTAGCGTCAGAGAGTGGTTGAAGCCTATCGCACCTGACCTTCTTGTGAAACAGCCTGTGACAGGTGACCAGTTCATAGCAGTTCAATTCAGTTCAGTTTTATTTACAAAGTGCCCAATCAGAACAGCTGTCACCTCAAGGAGCTTTATATTGTAAGGTAATGACCCTACCCCAACAATCAAATGACCGCTATTGAGCAAGCACTTGGCAACAGTGGGGAGGAAAAACTCACTTTTAACAGTAAGAAACGTCTTGCAGGCTGAATTCAGATATGTATGTATATTAATTCTGGTCTTCCAGTAATGTTAAAAGCAGCTTGTTTTGCTGTGACCTCAGCAGTTTGCTTAAATAACTCAAAGGAAGAAGAGCTTGTCTGAGAGCTGGATGGGCGATTCCATGTGTAGGTACTGGCCAGACAGGAAAGCCAGTTTGTGGGCATATTTGCAGGGTGCTGGAACACAAATGGTGCCTGGCCAGTTCCAGTACAAATGGCGCATCTCGAAAGTCAACCTGGCAAGACACCAAATCAACAATGAAATGTTTTTGAACTGTACAAACACTGACAATAAATCCCAATTTGTCTTGAAGACATGCAGAAATGAAATGACAGTAATAGTTAGGAAAGCAATAAACCTGAGGTAAATGCCAGTGAGGCTTTAAAAAAGGATTAACTGCTGATTAAATTACATTGACCATATTTAAAAGACAGAAATGTGCATCTGCACTAGTACAGAAACACTCAAAACACACCTGGCACATTCTCGCTATTCACTTCTGCTCAATTTATGTGTCAGCATTTAAGGTCTAGCAGATTAATTCAGTTTAGTTTTATGTATTTAGCACCAAATCACAACAACGGACACCTTGAGGTATTTTATACTGTAAGATAAGGCTTTACAACAATACAGAGAAAATGCCAACAATTTGTCCACACCTGGGACGTGGCAGAAAGCTTTCCTACGTTTTATCTGTACTTTTTTCTGGGCAACACCACAATCCACCTCATGTTTCTGCTTATGACTTCTTGAACAGCTAAGAGGGAAGGTGGCTTGCTTAGTGCATCTAATTAAAGTAGATCAAGTAATAATAACTCCTGAGTGTGAATACAAACCCAAAAGTACCTCAAACTCCTCTGGGTTGGAGAGTTTCCTTTCAAAAGGCCAGCAATTACGGATTAGCCCCCATCAGAGGTTGAACTGCTCTAATTAGAACATAACAAACAAACATAACAAAGCCCTCTTACTGCTATAAGCACCACTTCTTTCACGCTGACATTTTGCTGAGCCTCTTTTTCAGAGGCAAACAGTGAAAAGGCGAGTAAATATATGCAGCACGCACTGTGAATGTTGCATTTATTTATTCATTCATTCATTTACTTTGCAATGTTTGCAACATTACAGACACTATGAGAATTCCTGCTGTCAGATTTGCTTCATTCAGCTGTCAGTTTGGCCTACCGGAGGAAATGCTGGGAGCTGGTTTTTACATTCATGAGGGAAGGTCACTTCTTTTCTTCTATGTTGCAGTTTCCTACATTCGTCGATAGATGGCATCACATCCTTTAAAACGTAAAGATGTGTGTCTGTTTTTTTACTGTCTATGTGATTATTTAAGATTATAGCAGCAAATATAAGGAGCAGACAAACTTGCTACTTTCTATAACACTGAATAATTTGTGTGAGCACAAAGTCATCACCTCACACGCTCTGGGAGCATTTTTGGGATTATTTCAATTTAGTTTAAGACTAATTGCTAATATGTCTGACCAGTGACCTGAAAACCTAAACCTCTGTGGGCTTTTATATATTTAAGACTGCTTAGCTGCCTTCTTTTAATGTGCATTTTAAATCTAAAATTAAATGTCTAGTTTGTAAAAGACAGTTCTGTTTAGCCGCAAAAAAGTATTTATTATGTTTGTCTCAGGTATTTTTATTTTTATTATTATTATTATTATTATTATTTATTTATTTATTTATTTCCTGGTTCTTGATGTTTACAACAAAGTGTTAACCTTCCTTAAATAAGAAGTGACATTGAAAAACAAGTATTTTCAAATAAGAAAACAGGAATGGGATGAGAGAATGCATGCAAATATCCTGGCGTTTGTGGTAACAGTAGAAGTGTGAGAATTTGATCCCACATTCTCTAACTTAGAGATTAAATTGTGTTACCATCTGAAAAAAGTTGACTAAAACTAAACTCAG